GCTGGAGAGCACACAGTCTCCCACACACTCGGAAATATGTAGTAGATATATACAAACTCTCAGAAATATGTAGTAGATAGCTGTCCCGTTCTCCATCCTTGCCCCCTACTGGCCCAATGGGGTTATAGCTGTCCCAGTCCCTATCGTTGCCCCCATGTGGTCATTCTTCAGTATAATTGTTGCTCCTAACAGACCCCTCCTTTTCCATTTTATGAGAAACAATTGAGTTCTAGTTATCTCATTATCCTGGCACAACCAAACCCTTACCTTGCTTTAAGTTATGATAGGAAACTGCATATCAGATATGATGGTCCTAGTTCTCACTATTTAGGAAGAGTTCTTGAACAAATGGACAGACAGACAATCGCACATTTCTAAAATATATAGTAAGATTACACTGATTATCAGGACTATAGTGATTCTTGTGACTCAATCCTTTAAAAATTGAGATGTAAGTTTTGAGGATTTGTTTTTCCAATGAAGAAGAGGAAAGAGTTTATTTTGTAGACTAGCTTTCTTCTGGGAAAGATCAGGTTGGAGGAATACAGGTTATTTTAGGTGTCAGATCCACTGCGTGAAGTCTCCCTTCTCCTAGATAATAATTAACAATGATATTTTTTAAAGCTGTGCATTTCACCATATTCTGCCAGCTAGCACATGTTATTAAGGAGTGAGGAAATTTTGAAAACCAGTGTTACAATCTACCAACCAAACTAACCTTGTTACTATATGCTCACAAAGCCAATGATTTACATCAGCGACTATGTAATGTACAAAGTGCTCTCAGAATTGTTACACAGACAGAAAAATGAATGTCTGTTCTGATCTTGATCTGTTACTTCCCTGTGTTGTACTTTTGGTGCTAAAATGCTTAGTTTAAGTTTGTGATTTGATTATTGATAGCTACTGATGCAAAGAAGAGCCCCTTGTGCAACTAGTGTATAGAGCCAGTCAGCAGGACAGGGTCCTGCAAGACCTGCTGCTATAAGAGCAGGAGCGGGTGGGAGTGGGATTACAAATAATCCTGCAAAAGGCTGAAATGCAGTAGTTCTACAGGTCCGTCATTTTGTATGATTCAAGTTTACTGTTCCCTGCCACCTTGCATAATCTGATGGTGGGAAGTTCTTTGTACTGCTCAAGTGGCTCTATCTGACCAGACCGTTTGGGCCCGTTACAAAGGCCTTGTAATTTGGTCTTTAACTTGAACTGCTAACTTGTATGAGAACTACAAACTGCCTTGTCTTTTCTAAAATTTTAACTCAAGTTTAGAACATGCTTTTTCAGAGGAGACACGGCCACAACTGACTCAAACATTTTGTTTTTCCTGCCTGAGGCCCATGTTTCTTTACCCCGGTGTTCCCTATAGCTGCATAGGAACACATGAAAATGGAGCTGTTCCATGACAATAAGGTTTCTTAGAAATACCTTAGATAGATTTATGGAGAAGATGACATTGCATTAAACATATCTCAGGACAAATTTTTATTAAACTTTTTACATCTGCAGGTACCTCCAGGATCACCTCACTATCTCCCTTATTTTGCATTTTCTCTATAAAATTTTGTTTTTTTTTTCTCTGCAGGATGATGGCCTTCCAGAGAACGAGCATCAGCTTTCAGTAGCTGGGAAGATAAAGAAGCATTTCAACACAGGGCCTAAACCCAACAGCACAGCAGCTGGAGTTTCTGTCATTACAGTAAGCATCTGAAATACACAGCTATAACATTTTAAAAGTGCCCACAAAACAGTTGATGTTCAGAAGATGACACCAAAAGACAGCAAGGGCTTGTACTTATTGTAAAGTGCTGCCCTCCCTTGTAGCAGAAACTACATTTCAGATGCATTTCAAATGCAGCTGTGCAAGAGGGTTGCATACCGCACTACTCACAATATGTTAGCTGCATCCCTCCAAGCAGAGGTTAAATTGGTTAAGCCCAGGTAAATTTTATAGGCACATGCAGTGCAGTATATGCCTCATGAAAATGTCTATTTTTTCTCCAAGATGAACACCTCCCAACCCTCTCTCTCTCTCTCTCTCTCTTTCTCTTTTTCTCTCTCTTTCTCTTTCTCTTTCTCTCTCTCTCACACACACACACACACAAACACACACGGATGATATTCAGAATTTTATTAGATTATTTATGCTAGTACCATTAAACAGTAACTATCTGTTTTATCCACGTTCACATCTTCTACTTATTTTTAATACATCTGCCTGTGTTTTAAAGCTTTCTTTTTTATTACTCATGGTAATGTTAATTCTCCAGATAAAGTCACCAAAAAAAATCAATGACACATTGAACATAACCATTCCCATATCCAATTACTCAGTGTTTGTTCCCAGCTTCCATAAATTGCAGATGGTGTGACTGCACGTGTACACTGTCTCGTACTGTTTCCACTTTCATGTTCCTCAGCTCGGCCCCTCCAATGGTGAGTTAAATCAGCATGAAATAAACTCAGCTCAACAGGCACAATCTGGCTTGCAGGTGTGAACTATTTGTGAAGCAAAATGGATACTTTCTCAGAAGTATTTAAGATTTCAAGCTGTGCCTCTCACTTTTTTTTATTAAAAGCTATTTCAAAACAGAAACAAATTGCCCCTCATGCTTTTCTCTTAGATTTCCAACTTTCTTATGCCATCAGCCAACATGCAGTCAGCATTTTTAATTTTCATTTTCAAACAATAATGCCACGGTTACTCTCCCACAAATAAAACATCACATACTCTCAACTCATTGCTCATATGAAATGCAGGTGTGTTCTGAACAGTCTAGTTCAAACTGTGTTCTTTTCCAGTGGACTGCCAGCACGCTTGTCCATAAGAAGTACTGCTCAGGTCCTTTTTGTAAGGTTTTCGAAGCTTAAAAGATGGACACTATGCTTCCCCAATCTCACCTCTTACACTTTTTAAAATATTTTGGTTTGTTCCAGTTGATCTGGAAATGGATTGTTTACAGCAGTTTGCCATTTTAGTAGTGAAAAAGGCATTGGTAAAGTGAATATTTCCATTGACAAACATTATAGAAATAAATGAAATAAAAGCAAAAACACTCACTGAATTTGGTAATGTACTTATTTAAATTCTAATACATTTAATGAGAGCATCCTTCTGAGTGGATCCTATACCGTGGTGTGGTTAATTCTGGAGTTCTGCCTCTAAACTAGCAGTATTTTTAAAATATTGTTATAAAATCCAGAAATTAGTTTGATTTCTTTCAGTAACCTTCCTAAAATTGGGAGCATACAAACATCTGTCGTGCATGTGCAAAATTTAAGGCAGGCTAAGCAAATGCTGATTTAAATATCAAAAACCTTCTATATATTATGTGTGAAACACATCTTAATAAATAGAATAAATAAAACCAAAGGCAAAAGAGCAAAAACTTTTAGCCACTGGCCCTGCATTTAAAAACAGTTTAATGCTAGTTTGGCCTAGGATAGCTATTAAAATTTTACTTTCAGGAAACTCCTTTTTTTAACCTATATAATGTCAGATTATATTGATGTAGAACTTATTAACTAAAGCTGTTCTAAATGTATACTTTACAAAGTATATACTCCTCAAATGCTGGAACATATTGTTCAGCACATAAATGTAAAATATGTATATCTTGACCCTTTAAAAAAATCTGTTTTATTGCGCTGGTATGTGTGTATACTGTAGCTTATGGAAAGGGATAGCTAAAATACAATATTTAATTCTCAATTCAACTTCATGATATTCTTTATCATACATATACCCATATGGTAAAATTTATCATGATATGGGGGTCTAGCAAAGAGCTGTGTGCTAAACCTTTAATGCAGAGCTTAAGTTAATAAGGATTGTATGTGTTAGCTGGGCTGCCCCTCCCCCACTCCCAGTTTATCTTATTAGGTCAGTCATTTGCAGGTGTATTTTATTTATATATAAAATACTTTTAGTAGACTGTTGATTTCTTTAGTAATGCTCTAATATATTGTATGGACCCCTTTTGCTGAGGCATACATTTGCTTTGGTTATATAATTCCCAATAAGAATAGTATATGTTCATCCGGGTTCCAATCCTACAAACACTCATGTATAAACTTTACAGTTGTCATAAAGTTAATCATTTGCATAAGTATTTGCAGGATTAGGGCCCTAAAACAGGTATGACCAAAATATTTCATTTGGAAGCTTCATAACTATATGTTTTTTGTATCTAAAACTAATATTTCACTAAAAATGTAAAATGCGTATTTAATAGCAAACATATATTAAATAATCTGTTTAAAGTTTAGCACATTGTCTCCAGCCACTAAAGAAGAGAGCTGGTAATTATTTCTCAAATAAAAACAGATGTTTTGAAAGAGGTTTTTTTTTAAAAAAAAAAAAACAATACTCTGTCAGTACCCCATGGGTTTGTAATGATACTCTTTCTGTCTAAAATAATCAAGACAAAATCTAAATCAATTTATTTAAAATATTTTAGTATTCAAGGATGTTTTGCAATACATTCTATTAACTGAGTATAGTTCAATTTGTGCTTATGTCTGGAATGTTAAAGCTTTGCCTGTATGTTGTCACTTTTGTGCTTGTTTTTTTGGCATTATTAAGACAGAAGAAAAGACTAATGATAACATTATGTTAGGGTTGTGTGAGGTCCCTGACTTGGCTAGGGGAGTAAATCCCAGCTTGAGGCTCAGGGGAACCATGTAGCATAAAGAAAGAAAAAAGCTGTTCTGACAGCTGATGGGCTGCCAATGTGTCTAGAAATGGTAACCAATTCCTCTGTCTGCAGCATTCTGACTGTCGCAGGCGGCCTCTGTCGTCTGTGGAAACCAATTGGTGCTTCTTTATCATGGAATGGGGGTGGGAAGAAAGAGGGAGAGAGATATTTAAAATGCATTATAGCAATTATAAAATAAAATTAAAAGTGACATTTTAACAGTGGGCTTTTCTTAAGCTGTGGAGAAGAGAAAACAGCTTTAGTCTATTAATTTTGCTCGGTTTGAGAAAGGACCTATGACTTAAATGTCATTTCATATCTGTTGTTGTTCTATCATTATTATTTATAACTTGTTTTTCTTAGCCTATAATATCCATGGTAACTAAAATGTTTGTTTCAATTCTGCTTAGGTAGATGTAACATTTTAAAATTCAAAGAATAAATCCCTTCCTAAAACACGAGTAATAACATTCAGTTAGTTTGTAGTGCAATACTTTTTATTCTATTTTTTCATTACGTCTTTTGTGTACTTGAAATGCAGTATAATAAAATGCCAGCAGATGGCAATAGTAGATCAATCTACTAAAAGTCAATGAAAAAATGAAATATAGCTTCAAGGGCCACATCTTTTGAACAAGTAGTATCCTTTAATTCTAAATAAGGTGAAATGTGCGTTGATTTAACGTCACAGAAAAATATTAAATCTTTCTCTTTGCGTTTGTATTGAAAGTGTTAGTTAAATGTACATTTAGATGCAAGCTGCAGTTTAAATAACTAGTATATAGAGATATCTTGACCATCCTGCCTCAATTTAGAATTAGTAACACTCTTTAGCAATACACCAAACTCTTAGTGAAATACACAACGGCCTTTCCATTTGTAGGGCAAAATGTGAAAGTTATTAAATTTTTCAGATTACATTGGGCAGTAATGCATCTGCCATGTCTGTCCCCCCACAATTATATCTAATCCTCTGTTGAAGGCTATCCTAAACACATGTTAGTGCAATGTAGATAGGCTAGAGAAAATAATACATTTTCCTTTGTTCTATGCACATTCCTCTGCTGATGATAAATTCAATGTAGAACAATATATACAGCTCAAAGTTATATTTTTAAGCACACACTTTACCAGATTTTTTTTTTACGTATTACTAAGTTCATTTTCCATTTTGACTTTAATTGATGTAATTTAGTGAATATTGTACAGCACAGCTTTCTGCCATTCTTTTATTAAGCCCGAGATGTAAGGTAAAATATTAAACAATGCAATGCTGCTCATGAATCTGAAAAGTCTTGCTCTCCAAGGCTAACATTTAAAAAAAACCAAAACAAATAAAACCAAACCGGAATTGCCATGATTGATGGGGTATCTTAACCGGATTCTTTTAATCATACACATGCCATGATTATAAAGTGGTCTAATTTAAGCCTCCTGTAGTCTGTGTAGCCTGCTCCATGGAATGGCTAACACTGTGTTTTTTAAAAAGTATTAAACCTCTGTTTAATTGCAAAAGATACTTTTTTCATTACAATTATGTGCAACTTAAAGGGGCACGTCTATCTTTCGCGATAACAGGATATTTGTTATACTTTTAAATGAATGCTTACTGCACTGAGTAACCTATTTCGCAAACTCAATTTCAATTTAAATAAAATGGCTTCTAATATAGCAAGCTAGAAGCTAGGGCTAGTTTCTTTTTTTCTTTTATTCTTTTTCTTACTTTTTGTCTCCAGTGCATAGATTCAGGGTGTTAGATAAGGGCCTTGTGAAACTGAAAACAGTAAATATATTAAATAAGGAACAGCTTGGTCTGGAGTCTTAATTCTTTAGCATTCTATCGATCCACTGAGTTGCCCCATTTCTCTCTGCTCAGCTGGACCACGGGTTTACCATCAAGAGATCAGGGTCTTTGGACTACTACCAACAACCAGGAATGTATTGGATAAGGTATGAGATGGTGCAGCTCCAACAGTCAGTGTTTCCATGGCAACGTGCTGGCAGTCTCCATTAACCAGTTCCTTCAGTGGATAAACATGCTTTTTGATTTGTTATCCAGTCCATATGCTGCTTTATCAGTTTCATTTTAATCTTGATTGAGATGCCACACCCCCTCATTCCCTTTCTTCACCCATTATTCACACTGACATTGCCAGCTTTCTCTTCATCGCACATGCTCAGTATCAATTTTCCTTATAGTTAAAAGGACAGTGTATATAGAAAATCTACTGGATATGCTGCAGCAATTCTCCCCCTCCCCCACTCCATATTGCTGGTTAAGGCATCTGCTTCCTGTGCACTTCTGTTTTTAAACACATGGAACAGCAATAAGATCTCAACATTTTTTTTTCCTCTTCTGTATGAGATACGGCACTATATACTGTCATTTTTAACCTATCAAACACAATCTTTACCTTAGATGGAACAATGCATTTACCTAACACAGAACTAGAAATGCTCTCAAGTTTACTGAAATATAATGCATTGTATGTGCTGGTAAGCTTGTGTTTTCTAATTATGTACATTTATTTTTGTTCTCTTTTTATTTTCAAAACCCCGTGTAGTTTGTTTTTATTTTTTAACAATATTGCATGAATCCATTTTTAATATTTTCCTACTTTGCGTAACTGTTTCAGGGTTGTTACTAGTTGACTTGACCGATACGATAAAACGGGACTTTGGCTGGGATGGTTTTTCTGAGGGTAAAAAAGAGGGATTTTGATGATAGCTATTGTCAGGTGCATACCTCCTCAATCAGTCAGGTGGTGTTTTCATCAAGTGTTTATTTGCTGGCTATTGTCCCCTTATTGCTCATAGGATTTTACTTGTGATAGCTGGAAAGATAAAATGAGTCCCAAGTGAATACTTTTTCCTAACACTTGTAGTTGTTCAAGCCCAGATAAATACTTTTCATGGTGGAGGGTGGGGGAAAACCTATTCTGTGTAATGAACAATTCTACAAATTAGCTTAATTAGCAAAATATATACAATAATGTAGAAATCTGTTCCTCATATCATTTCACTGATTGCTTGGGTCAGTTTACAGCACAGTTTCTACAAAACTTATCAGGCCCCAAAACACACAAAAAATATGGCTGTGAAAATTCAGTATATTTTGAAATGGGTGTGGAGGAGAAAAACAGCTCTTCCTCCTTGAACCATTCAGACATGCTGGTTATAATGGCTAATTCAGAAATGGTTTCCATACAAGTGCTCAAATTTCTACTGGTTTGTGCAGTTAGCACCTTGTTACTTCATCTTTTGTGCTTGAGCATTATTGACACTTCTATAAACCACGGAATGTACTTTATTAATCTATTTTCTCAATTGACAAAGTGCTTCAGGGTATACTAGTAAATAAAATTTTGTGTACTTTGTAAAAATAACATCCTAAATGAGATCTCACTATGGCATCTGCTCTTTCTCTTTATTGAAATGGAGGTAATAAGTTGGAGGTTTAGCAAAGTGTAAACTACAGAAGTCTTACTGTAACTGTTTCATTTTGCTCACCAAGAAAGATTATATTTTGAATCAAACAGAACTTTATCAAAGGGTTTAAAAGATTTTGTTCTGACTAGCATCACTATCCATGTTGAGCCTGCACAGACTTTTGCTCATATTATCTTTTGTTTTTATAGGGAAGACAGAATAATTGTTTCCATTTATCATGTAGGTATCTATTTAAATAATTTAAAAAAAAAGTCTCCAGCCAGCATCAGAGAGAGCAAATCACTAAAGAGAGGAATTTGTAAAAAAAAAAATTGAAATTTTTTAAATCTGAGAGACCTTGACTCAGTTTAAATACTTAGCCAGGTTTTAAAATAAACTGTACATCCACAGGCTTGTGGAAGATTCCAATCCAGCAAATAGGTAAATAAATAAACATATAAAAAAAGCCATTTGACTAAAACGCTAGTAATGGCTTCCATCAGCATACAAAGTGACATATCCTTGAATAATGGGCTGGAGCAGACTGGTGATAATCTCTCTTATTCACATATAAACTGCTGTTTTCCAGCTGGGGGCAGTAACAATGTTTATAATTAGTGTGGTTCTAAACAGTGCACCCAGCGTATGTAACCAAATTGGGAAAGTGGTGCTAAAAACTCAGATGTATATACGTAATTAGGAAATGTTATAATACCAGATAGTCCCAGAACTAACATTATTATATACATGTTATCTGTATAGATTGCAAATATTTCCTCTTTCATCTCCATAGGAACAGGAACATTCAAATAATCACTGTAGTGCTCAGTATTTTAATGTGAAGAGTAGAACTATTTTCAATCAGAAATTGTATATGATATTCATAGAATTTTCCAAGTTCTTAATGATAACACCTTCAGGGTTATACAACAGTTCATTTGCCAACAGCCTTGAAAAAGCATGTGTGTCACAAGTATGGTCCATATATGGAGGCAGACACAAAGAGAAATTTAATGCTTACGTCTTCTTTCATAATAGAGCTTTTGATTTCTTGTCTATACAACTGATCCTTTTTTTCATTTGATCCTCTCACATTCTCCTCCAAAAAAGACAATAATTGCCTTTTTAATAAACCAGCAAACCATTTCCTTCAGCCTACATGTATTTCTCCATAATGTGCTCAAGATTCCTAATTCTGCTTTTCAATGCTAACTTTGTCCCCCTCAAAGCCTGCTATTTTTCCTCTGTTGCTACAAAGAGCCCTGCAGTATTTTAAATGTAATGTCTTTGTTTCCAGAAAATATTTCCACACGGAGATGAGATAGTACACTTAGAAAAAATCTCTTCCTGAAGTAACAATTGCAGCAGATATTGTGCATAGAGACTGGCAAAAGTATTACACGGTGTTTTATGTATACAAATAACAGACAAAGTATGATAAACCAGTTCAGTAAAAGCAGCCTAGATAAAAATAATGTTAGATCATATAAATTGTTTAAGTCCCAGATGTGATGGAAGTTTTAAAAGCTGCATATTTTATTGTAGGAAATGTACTCCCGATGACACGTACTTTCCTTTTCTGCCATTATAGATGAGTACTCTGGCAGTGCAGATCAGTGAACACCTACAGTGCTCTTTATGCAGAGAGATTGTTTTATAGCAGCACCCTTTAGTGACCTACTTTCTAAAAAGCCAACAATCAATATACATTTATTGCAAGTTATCAACTTATTGGATGTTCACCGACAAAACAAACTAACAAAATTCTGACAGATTTCCTCTTATAAGAATCTCCACTTAGGGTATTTAATTGAGGATTTTTAACAACCTGAGTGTTTGGTGAGTTTGCTGATCTTCATGGATGTAAGTAAGAATTTTAAGAGGGAATGATGCCATTGCCCTTAAGTCATAGAAATCATAGACTAATGGAACTGGAAGGGACCTCGAGAGTTCATCAAGTCCAGTTCCCTGCCCTCATGACAGGACCAAGCATCATCTAGATCATCCCTGATACATGTTTATGTAACCTGCTCTTAAATGGAGATTCCACAACCTCTCTAGGCAATTTATTCCAGTGCTTAATGACCCTGACAGCTAGAAAGTTTTTCCTAATGTCCAACCTAAACCTCCCTTGCCACAATTTAAGCCCATTGCTTCTTGCCTATCCTTAGAGGCCAAGGAGAATAATTTTTCTCCCTCCTTCTTGTGACACTCTTTTAGGTACTTGAAAACCACTATCATGTCCCCTCTCAGTCTTCTCCTTTCCAAACTAAACAAACCCAATTCTTTCAGTCTTCTCCCAAGTTTTGCACGGTGCCATGTATAGGTACGTCACATCACCTATATAACTTGAGCCCCTAAACAGAAGCCCATTTTAACTTCAGTACTTTGCATAATTTAGCAAGAGATGGTCAGTGCTTGCTTTGCCTTTGAATTTCCTTACTCTTGCAGCTTTGTTTGAATCTAAACATTTTTTTAACCTATTGTTGACCGTGTTTTTGAACCTTTTGGTTTTTGAGCATTTAAATTGGAATATTAAAAATACTCGAGAGCAGGTATACCTAGAGTACTTAGTATATCTTTGCAATTTGTCCACTGGCATGCTATACACTCTAGTGAAGTTAATATATCAAGAAAATGTGTGGGAAAGTTATTGAAATATTATGTAATGACAGTGCCAACTGCATTGGGCTTATCCATTCACTTGTAACAAAATTGTAACATCCTAACAACACTAATCTATGTAATTATTGACTTTTAAAAACATGATGCTCACAGTAGCTGCATTTTTTCAAGCTGAATAACTCAATTCAGATTCTAAGATCCCACTCTGTTCATATCGCACCTCATTCCCCATTATGTCTAGTACAGTCATCTACACCTGGAACAAAGTCAAAATGCTATATTTCTAAGTTATGTTCCCTTGTTCAGATGTAAGTGGCTGCATAAGTCTCAAGGTGGTGGGCAATCACACTTTATCACAATGTTTACTTTTTTCAAAGAATGAAGCCTTTCTGTAAATTTGAGTCTGGTAAAAACAAACATCTTAAGTCATTTAAAATCTCTCTCCCACTCTGTGACTAAGAACCACAACTGATTTTCAAACTCGGTAAAATTGCACCCATGGAATTTTGAACCATGCGTCATATACAGGTAATGTGTAAACCAGTTGAGAAGTCCTATCCCCACAGAATGGAGATGTTAAATAATAAAGATAAACTGAAATACAGAATTCTGAATTAATGTATTATACTATACTATACATGCACTATACTTGCCTTTATGTACCAGTACAGTATGGAGCATAAATGAAACTGGATGTTTTAAGGTATGTATGCGAGGGACAACATATATATACTGGATACACCTATGAAGAAACAAACACAAGAACTCATGCTCTGACACTGCAGAACTGCTTCTATTGCTGCATTTGTGATCATTTTTATCACCACAAAATCTACTGTAACACATCACATAACATATTGAGGTCACCAAGCAGAACCTTATGAAAGTAGAATCAATTTACCCAGCTGGGAACATCTAAATATATGTTTTTAAAATAATAAAACAGGAGTAAAATGTCAATATTTCACTAGTTATGTCAATTTAATTTCAAACGCTAACAAAGCATCTCCAAAATGGCAAGCACGTTACAAATATTTCCCTGCAGATGGAGAGTGAGAGAAGGAAAGGGTTTCTTAGATTAATGCGTGAACAGCTGCATCTCCAGTTCAGTCTCCTAGCTGGTATGAATAATGGATGGACTCAGAAGCAAAATGCACGCTGATGTTCTTTTATTAATGAAATGAAGATTTTTTTGGTGACTAACAGTAAATTAAGAGAAAAGAAAAACAGTCACATTAATAAAATACAGTTACTTAAATCCAGTCATTACTGAACTGACAGAAAATATGGCCTACCTAGAAAAAAGGGTTCTTCCCATTGCAAATCTAGCACATATTTTAAAGAAAATGTAGTTGTGAGCTCCTATCCAGATGCACCACATTCAACATTTGTCATGGAGAAAAACTGAGTGGTTTGGGAGTTGTGCTACAATACCATTTTGAGGGCAGGAAAAGATAACACACATGAAAAAAATCTTGGCGTACAGGCAAATGCTCCATATTAGTATGATCAGTATAATGATAAAAAATACATCCTGGTTGCTTCAAAATGTATAATACTAATTCACATAAATAGCTTGTTGGCCATTTGGTACTAGGTGTCAGAAATACTAAATGTTGATGCAAAATACATTTGTGCTTAGTGAAGGATGTTTCAGACCCATCAGCAGCAAACTGTTGAGGGCACTCCACTTTCCTGCTATTGGATAAGTAGCTTTACGTTTCCTCAGATGGATTGTAAGAGGACAGCTACATCTCTTGAGTAAATAAGCTATAGTTTCATTTGGTTACCGCCAATATAATCTGGTCCTCAAAGTTCTCCCTCTCTCTTCAAGCTGAGAGGGAAAATGCTAAAATATGGTAATGAAACCTGGGATTTGCAGTCTTGTGAGGCATAAGTGTATTTCAGAGCTTCTTATTATTTATTGAAAAGATATCTTAAAGTAGAGATGCCCTGAAAATCCATAATAGACCAGTTCATGCACCAATGAACCTTCCAGCTCAATAGCAGATGGAATAATAAATCTAATAATGTAATACTATATTACATTATTGTTGAGCATCCAAGCAATGTATTTAAGAGGCCTTTGTTACAAAACAGGTTACCAATTTTAATGACAAATTAACTATATTTAGAATAATCCCTGAGGTGAGATGAAAAGAAAGCAAGTAAAAATATTATTTACAAAACATGCCTTCTTTTATTTCTGCAGTGCACAGCACCATTTGCCCAAGTTCCACACAATTATTTGTTGCTTTCTGAACTTCTTCAGAGGAAAGAGATAATTGTGGCCTCATAAATAAAATATTTTTAACAGTGCAAGTAATTCAGCATTAGAAAAAGCAACGGTCATAGTGGATTCTCCATTACTGACCCTTTTTAAATAATGATTAGGTGTTTTTTTTTTCTAAAATATATGCTCTAAGAATTGTTTTGGGGGGAGTTTCTATGGCTTGTATTGCTCAGGAGGTCAGAGTAGATGACCACAATGTGTTCAGAATGCATTTTAATGAGATTTTGTTCTGTTATAAAAGTCATAGGTTCAAAGTGTGTGACCCACACCTAGAACAGCATTGGCCCAATCCTGCACCCTGAGTGGGAGTTGAGAATGCTCAGTACCTCTCAAGGTTGAGTCCATTGACAGAAGCAGAGACAGTCTGTGCTATAATTACAATATATGAAAGGCTGGAGAATGAAACCTACTATGTTGTATTTTCATCTCAAATTTATATTGATCGAGATTCCACCACTTTTCTCTTTCTTGCTTTATGCATTTCTCTAATGAGTCATTTGCTTGGGTAAAAGGATTGTTGGTGCCTCTCCAAGAGGGAGTAAAAACACATAATGCCACAAAGCTAGAGACAAGTCTCTATAGATGAGAAGCAAATTGATGAAATTCAAGAGAGAATTTGGGTTGAGTATCAGAAAAAAACTTCCCAACAGTGAAATGTGAGATGGGACATAAATGCTAAAATTGTGGTCTAGGAAATAATCCTTAATTAGTAGGGAGTTGAATTATGTGACATAATAGCTTTTTTATACCTCTGAATGTTTGATCCTATGAAATTAAAAGTACCCATTCATTTATTTGTGTGTTTCATAAAATGGCCCCTAAAGATTATTTAACAATGACAATGGAGTAAACATTTGGATTTTCCATTACACACGAAGATTACTTTAAATGCAATAAATGTCATGTTACTTAGTTATCTGATGGGCAGAACTTTTTAGATGGTTTATAATTTTGTTCTTTTTCTGAAAAAAAAATCTAACACTGGATTAGACTTCAAAATAAACTACGTTCTATTCAAAAGTATCTATTACTTCAAGAATAACTGTAGGGTGACATGGTGTGGTATAATCTTTAAATAAACTCCTATATTTTGTAAATGGGAATCTGTAAGTTATAGAATAATAATATATGCCATTATTTACAATTTTTGTACAGAATTATATACCTGTATGCTGTATATTTACAGTGTGTAAATTATCTAGATATTAATCTATTTCACATGAAAATATAATCATCAACCCAGTTGGTTTGAGGCTAAGAAATGTTCAGGATACTGAAAAATACTAATTATTTTTTTAAAATAAAAGTTCAGTGGTAAACAAGGATATCAAGTTTAATTGTTTTTAACTTTTTAATAGTTTGATATAAAAATAATAGTTCAGCAATTCAGCCTAACTAAATCCATTTGCTATAGTGGCTCTGTACTCTGTCCATCTTTCTGTCTTTATTGCATCATTTCTGAAACTTGATTGCATTATTTTAGGGCATGGATTGCTATAATGCTCTTCTGCACTACAGTGATGGATTTAGTTTTCATTTTGTTCTCAAAAATAGTCTAGCTTTAAATGTATCTCTGTTCTCTGATGAGGCTCACAGTATAAATGGTAAATGTTCAAGAAGAAAAATGGTCACGTATCTCCCAAGAGAAAACAATAAACCCTTTGAAACAGCATAACCGATTGGCTACATTCATTTAAAGAGTGACACTTATGCTAGGGAAAATTGTTCTTAATATCAGACTTAAAACTTCAATCCATTCAATTTCTACATACAGTTATCCTTGCCTCTCCACTAGAGATCAGATACTTGTGAATGTTTTAAGGACTTTCTCATTAATGTTCCTTCTTTTCCATTTATCCTTGATCCTGATTTTTGAAAGCATACCATTCAGGAAAACAATTTATTTCAATATCTGTTGTTGTGCTTTCCTGAATAAATACCATAATGTTGATTTTATAACATCACTCACTGTAATTTCAAAGTGACTACAGAATAAGATCCTATATTCTAGATTATGGGTGAAATCCTGGCTTCCTTGGAGTCAATGGAAAAACTCCCATTGACTTCATTGGAAGATCAAACCGAATGAGAAACTTGTCTGTGAATTGCATCAGTTTCATTACATCATAAATCTTGCACAGTAGCAGGAAATATGTCATGGGAGGGGCCAAGTAAATTGAGACACCTTTGGAAAAAATAATTATTTTAGATAAAAGAGTGTGGACTTTTCTTAGGCCATAGTCTCTACTTCCTTCTGGGCAAGGTGATCAGATTGATGCAGTCTTCAGAAAGAGCTCATCAGTGTTCTTCCCCAGCAGCAGAGCCTTAAATGATTTAGCCTGAGGAAGTTTTAAAGAGCTGAGTTAGCGTCTTTCGTTACCTTTCTTAACTGACAACTTCATCACAATCCATCTTTGTTAGACAATCTCACTGATTTGAACATTGGTGAATAGGTATCAACCTTGACTGGGTCATATGGAACAGACAATCCTATATCTATACTTTGTAGGAAAAGATTTATATTTTGAGAAGGAAGAGAGAAGGTCAGCTGGTATTTGGCTTGAAATCTGGATTTATTACCCTATGAAATTAATAGCATCCAGCAGTTGAACATATGGCATCTTTATATATGGTACTAGATACACTTGATGTCATGTTGCTGTTTAAGTTTTGGGAAATGTGCTTTTTAAGAAGTTTAGCTGTGTTGTGTGCTAAACCTTTCAAAACTAACTGAATCAGAACAGGTTTAATTTGGCCTGAACATTTATTATCCCTAGTATTTGCAGGCCCACATACAAATGCATGTTTTTCATTAGCTTTGCATTTCACACACAGCCTAATTTCATTTATTCTCATTTTATGCCCCTGCCAGACCACCGCTCTTGATAAGGAGAGGCAGGTTTTCCGACGAAGACGCAACCAGGATGTGAGGGGATGTTTTAAGGCTCAGCAAGCTCCACCGGAACTCAACTCTGAATCGGAAGACTATTCACCGAGTTCATCCGAGACTGTTCGCTCACCTAACTCACCCTTTTAATAAAACACTTTTGCTCAAAGTCTTGGCTTAACCCTTTGAGATTCTGAAAATCCTCCCAACATGTGTGAAATGATTACATCTGATCTATCTAGTACTAATGTTTGAATCATGGAACAGAAAAGGGTGTTTACAGTATCTTTGTAGTAATAATTTCCTAACTGACTGAAATGATACTTGTGCTCTGTCTAGATTGTGACTTGCTGCTATGATCCTCAAAGGGTTAAGACTATTTTGCATTTTTTTAAAGATAAGAGCAATGAATGTTTTCCTCAGTCATGCTAGGACCTGCAGTTTGTAATTTTAGCACATGTTAACCCTCTGAGTGCATAATAATCTTAATCTTGATGGCCCACCCTGGGGCTTTGACTTCCCTGCACATTCCTTCTCCCCCCCCCCCCTCCCCCCCCCCCCCCAATCTCCTTAGTCCTTTTCCCAGCATTCTGACCAAAACCATATCCAAATCCTACTCCATTTGAGGAGTTGCGAATAGGGGCTCTTTAAAATTTTGTTTTAGTGCAACGTATTCTATATTTCTATGATATTCTACCACAGAGTGCTGATCTTTACTAGTGGGTACCATACAAGTTAATGGGAAATGGGTGATAGGACTGCCTCATAACACTCTACATTAGGTGATGTGATGATACCATCAAAATTGTTGCTTCCACATCATTGGCTGCTAGTGGCTGTTGTGTAGTAGTGATAGAGTCTTGAGAAATGGGTAAAGGGCGCATTCTATCATGCTTTGGTATGTAAAGATCTAGTTCTAATACTTTCTCCTGCTACACACACATGTACAGATGAGGGAAAGCAATTAGTTTATCTATAGCACTGGGATTTTGAAGAGGAAATGCTCTCAACATAATCATGTTTTTTCATAGATACACTGATTACAATGAGGAGAGAGACTTTTGAAAAAGGGGAAAATCCAACATTAAAGGAAGGAGAATTACCCTTACAATAGCTACAGTATTTATAAGTTGGAGGAAATACCTGTCATGTTCATATTTAAGAAAAGCCATTGGGTGAAATCCTGCTGTCCTCGTTCACATCAATGAGAATCTTATCTTAGAGTGGGAAAAACTAAAAACTTCATCTAGCATATTTGTGCTAGTATCTACAGAGGGGGTGTGTATGACAGAGAAATACATGTAAAAGGGTGTTAAACCTCAAGTCCATACATTAGAATTTAATTTCATCCTTGTACAAAGAAAGTCTAATTTCACAGAGAAGTTCTACATCACAAACTTTGTTTCAGATAGGATAATTTGCGTGAAAACAGCCCCACGTTCACACAAAAGTGGCCCCAGTTGAGTGAAAAATGACACATTTCCAAAATTATGAATACATATAAGACCTGTGCAGAAAAATATGAACTTTGATATTTCACATGTTGTCTCTATGCTTTGGGTCTGTGTTCACAGGAATACTGATGAACACAAAGGTAATTCTGAAGTGGAGGGCATGTAGGATTCATCCAACTATTGATTTGTGTTCCTTAATTACCAATCATTAGAGTAGCCAGGTGCCATTTATTTTTGCAGTCTCAAAAGATTCACTGATGGGCATATGTGTAAATAATTTAGGTCAATCCTTTTCTCTTCTTTATGATGTGCCCACTTGTGTATGTTTTTATATATTAAACATTTAACACATTTTGAACAAGGGAACCTCACTTCATTGGCTTTCGTTCAAGTGAAACCAACCTTTGATTAGAGTTATTTGGTTTGAATCTATTCATTTGATTTCCTGGGAGGATCCACGATGTCTCTGCATAGTCCCATTGACTTTAGTGGGATGCTGCACACGATGTGTCTCAGTCAGATTACAGGATTGACGTATTTATAGGTAACAAAAGAATCATTAACAGAGGAACATTGGTTAAAGTATAAATGTAATTGCCCCCAGCAGAGAAATTTAAGCAGGATTCTGTAGAACTCCATAGGGATAATGGGAAGGAGGAATGAGTAGCCATAGCACAAATAAACTTCAGAGGTGGGAAAGTGCTTCTTGGCAATTGTGCTTCCCTTGTCAAGGTCATGGGTCGAGGGGAAAGGATGAAAGAGCCTATCTAGTGGCAGATAATCGGACCCCACACAACCACCTCTAAAGAGTCACTGCACAAAGAGGCTTCATTGTAGATATGGAACCATATATATCCAGGTGTCACCTCCCTGAAAAGCAATACCAGAGTAATTGCATTACATATGGATCCTCCACTCTGGCAGAATAATAGATAGGATTTGGGCAATACTAAGTGTGCACTTTTACACGGGCCTAGACCCTGAGCTGGTAAAACTCAGTGTAACTCCATTGAAGTCAATGCTCGTTTACAGCAGATGATTTTTTTTTAATATAACCCCTCACATTATAATGCTGCCTTCCCTTTAGAACAAATGCAACTTGATACAAAAATAAAGTTATGCATATGGCAATCAAAAGTGCTAATTAATAACATGTTTGTTGACTATCAGCAAAAAGTTGGCAGTTTCAAAGGAACAAGATCAATGATCATTTTCCTGAATCAAGTAGAGAAGCTGGAAAAAAGAAACTATAAAGCAAACGCTTCATCTGATGTATGCGTAGTGTCATTCGAAATTCATTTGCAATCTTCCTGTCTCCTTTGCTTTTGTTTTAAGCTCCAGGGCTATCAATAAAATAAGATGTTTGGCTCTATCATATACCGTATTGCACCACTTAAAACTTATATAAAAATAATCCCAGCCCCTGAAATCTCCAGTCATTCTCCAGCCCCTTGCAAATTTCTGATTTTTGGCTCACGTTTTACTGACAAAGGCTAGAACATTTTACAGGTGTATTATTTATCCCCCTTAGAGAATGTGCACAAAATTGTCAAATGGCACATTTTCATGGTTTCAAGAAAATCTATCTGAATATTCTAACCGTTTTAAAAGAGAAGGCCATCCACACTGGATTAGAAAATTAAGGTTTCATATAATGAATGGTCAATGCTTGTTTGCCAAAGAAACACAAGGTCAAGTTTTGCTTCTGTTTACACCTTTGTAACTCCCGTAGGATAATGGGTGTAACTGAAGACAGAATATGTGATCCTGAGAATATCTAAACTTTAATCAAGGAAACTTCACAGATTGGGAATTACAGTTTCTTATATGAATACACTTAAAAATCTAATATGAGAGTATATAGCATAGTAGTCATTTTGCTGTAAACCATGCCAAACTCACTTTACACATTTTATTGGTGCTAAACATTAAAACAAAAAAGAAAATATGCATTGCATTTACATTGTGTAAATGCAACATTCCATTATTTTTATGCATATTGCAAATTGACTATCTCTTCTAGTGAGTTTACCTGCAGTAAACTAACTTTCTGATAAATGTAATACTCATATGTGGTGATACCGTTCCCATCTTTGTGCACCTTGAATATTGTGGTGAATAAATTTAGAATGTGATTTATCAGGTGAAAATGGAAATCAGCATTACATATAATCTTACTAGCATTTATCTGTAAAAAGAACCAGGATATTATAGATGTACTCAGAGGGTTAACAGAAAAGCACAAGGCATGCTGACTACATTGATGTATCCAAACTGCTTTGCTTTTTTAGCCAGTGTTTGCTAATTTTTCAGAAAATTCTTGGAAAATTTAAGGTTTAAAATAATTTAAGTGTTGTTGTTCAAGAATTTCTATAACCAAATTAATCTTATTTTTAGTTTAACTTCTCACAGGAATCATAGGTATCATTAATGCCGTGTAAGTCTGTTAGTTATAAATTCCACTAATTCCACAAGTGATTTCAGATTTTTTGTTAAGTACTTAATATAGAGCCTACAATGGTGGCATAGGTGACTGAGACCGTCTTTCTTTGTAATTTCAAGAGAGTCCTAAGAACCAGCTTTTCAGTTTGGTAGTGTACTAGTGAGGGAAAAGCAATCTCATTACATGCATTGTGTAAATCTTTGTAGATGAGAACTGTTCATATGAATGAACACACGTTTTTTTTCTTGACATTGTAGCAGAAACTGTTTACTTGTTAATGATCAACCAATACATTAATTTGCTTCAGACTGTTACAGGGAAAAGTGAGATTCTAGTAATTGAAAATGTTATTGCTTTACAGTATCCCTCATCTAATTTAAATGTGGTGCATACTACAATAAGCAAAGCCAAACCTGTGAATAAACTACTTAAAAAGTGTGGTGGTTCTGTATTCAGTGGAGTGCTTATATACAGTAGTATGTAGCACTGAGAAGGCTTGTTAGGTAGTGTTGAAGTAGAAAGCAATATATGTAATATGAATAAGAGCTAAATTGTAATCCTTTAACCTCTGAGACATATTTCATTTATTTATTTATTTATTAAAAATGGCTCTGAGGGTCACAATGCTACCATATGACCACAGGTCAAGTACATTAAATCACTGTTATTTGCTGCCCCATGGGACACATTAGCAAATGGCATCCCTTGTATTTAGTTTAGATTGTGGGCAGAGAGAGTTTTCTTAATAGCATTGCAGTGCCTGTTAGCACTGTCATAGATAAGGCTGTGTTAGTATTTCCATTATAAACTCCAAATCTCAAAGATTTTTAGTTTGATCATAAAAATATGCTTTGGGCAAGTATATGGCACATGATTCTTCAGCTTTGAGTGATTCTTCTCCTAAAATATGAGGGAAATCAACTTAGCCATTTTGACATTTATGTTTGAAAAGCATGTATGAAAAAGGGAGATTCAGATCATTTATGTGTGGGTGATTAAAAAATGATTTCATTTTCAGACACGTTTTATAGTTCTGGACTATGACATCATAGAATTCGAAGGGATCTCAAGAGGTCATCAAGTCCAGTCCGCTGCCCTCTTGGCAGGACCAAGCACTGTCTAGATTATCCCTGACAGGTGTGTCTCTAACCAGCTCTTAAATAGCTCTAGTGATGGAGATTCTACAACCTCCCTAGCCAATTTATTCCAGTGTTTAACCACCCTGACAGGAAGTTTTTCATAATGTCCAACCTAAACCTCCCTTGCTGCAATTTAAGCCCATTGCTTCTTGTCCTATCCTGAGGCCAAGAAGAATAATTTTTCTCTCCCCTCCTTGTGATACCCTTCTCAACACTTGAAAACTACTATCATGTCCCCTCTCAGTCTTCTCTTTTCTAAACTAAACAAGCCCAATTCTTTCAGCCTTCCCTCATAGCTCATGTTTTCTAGATCTTTATAATTTTTGCTGCTTTTCTCTGGACCTTCTCCAATTTCTCCACATCTTTCTTGAAATGTGGTGCCCAGAACTGGACACAATGGTCCAGTTGAGGCTTAATCAGTACAGAGTAGAGTGGAAGAATGACTCCCCATATCTTGCTCACAGTTCAAAACTTTTGGATGCTTTGAAACCTAGTAAGAAAACTCGGTTATTGAGAAACTATTACAGCAATTTTATTGTAACGAAAAAATAACAGGACTTTAAAGTTCACACAGTAACAGTGTGTGTTCTCCCTGTTCTGTGCTGATGAAGTCATGTAGTTTAACAGCAGAAGGGACCACTAGGTCATATAGTCTCATTTCCTGCGTACCACAGGCAGTCATCGTGGCTACCCTGCCCCACATACTAAATGCAACAACCAAAATTAGATTACAGTATTATAGCCCACAGAATAGTAAACTATTACATGCAACGGGCAGCGAATGTGAGGAACTGAGGTGCATTCGTACCCGAGGTTCAAGCAATGGCAGGGAATTAAATGTAACTTCTACTACTATGAACGTCAGTTACTCTATCAAATGCTGAATATGGATTATGTAGAACGTCTGTGTAGCATGTAATTGTATATGACTTGATGGTCCTCTCACATTTAGAACTTGCTCCATGGAAGAAAATGGGATTACACCAACACGAAATATGTGTAAGTGGAAGAATTGGGCCCATTGTCCCTTAAATGACAAACTTATCATAGTAAGATGAGGACTGGATCCTCAGGAGTCCAGAACTGTGAATGATATCAAAAGACTGTTTTAACAATTGAATGTGCATTCTATGATTTGCCCAGTAAATTTTCCCAGTTAACCTAATAAATCCACGTACAACAGGCAACCTCACTGTTCATATACTAATCTGAAATAAAAGTACATTTTCAAAGGAAAGCAGTTAATCAAACACACATGCATGTGTACCCAATGTTAGGGAAAAATAGGTATTAAAAATTCCACAATACACATTATTAAAATATTTCCAGTGTTAGACCACACCAGTTCCATTTGGCAAAACACAATTTTCAAAAGGATCTTTTTATGTACACATTTTTCTAAATCTGTGTTTATACTTGAACAGTCCATGTTTAGTATCTTTGGATTTTCATGCAAGATCAGAATTTCATCCAGTCCTGTGTGCTCATTCTCTCTCTCTCTCTGACCACGGTCAATATTGGATGCATCAGTGGTAGGAACAAGAAAACGAATGAATGAATTGTTATGGAATGATCTATCCACAGTGGAGCCATCATCCTAACTCTGGTTAGTGATTGGCTTATGCCCTGAAACATGAAGGTTTATCCTTTCCAATAGTGATAGAAATGTAGTATCATTAGCTCACAGACATTTACCTTCCTCCCCACCCCCCATCCTCCTTCTGTTCTGAAATTTGATTTGTCCTTTTCATATGTGTTCATTTTTTAAAATTGTATCCTTTGGTATATATGGTTGTGACAATTTTCTTCCACTATTTGATCTGAGGAAGTGGATCTGGCCCACGAAACCTCATCACCTAATAAATCATCTTGTTAGTCTTTAAAGTGCTACATAGTCCTGTATTTTATCCTTTCCAAGACAATTTAGCCTGAGCTGGACTTTGGACTTAATCTATTTAAACACCAAACATCTTTAAAACAAGTGTTTACACAATAGCTGACTGCAGTGTTCCCTCTAAGCTGCGGGGCAGCACAGCTTCACAGGTTAATAATCAGCCCCACCCAATCAGTCAGCTCCCTGTAGGGAGCCCTGACCCTCTGCCTGAGTGGGGCTGATTAATCACCTGTGAAGTTGTGCTGCCAAGCAGCTTAGAGAGAACAGTGGTAGACTGTATTAACTATTTACAGTGATTTACAACAAGACAACAAATTTTAAAGATACTCAATGCCCACATTTCCATATATACTTGCCTTTTAAGCCAGATCTATGACAGAAATTAAAACTAATGTACAAAGATATTCAGACAATGTTAGGGTCATAAGCTGATGAAAACTGTGCTTTGAGAGATGTAATATTTATGGTGCATTATAAACTATTGGAGTGAATGAGCCTTACATGTATGCCCCTGACATAATGTATTAGGAGTTAAGGGTGAAATGCCATCTTTAATTTGCCTTGCTGTGTTCAGGTTTAGCAACTGAAGTGGTTTTCTAACAAGGGACCTTAGATCAATGAAAGATTTTCTGCAACACATAAACACAATGGGCTGAACATGGAATGAAATAACAAGGGTCTGGTCTTTCAAAAGTGTGTGGTAGATTTTATTTTCTTTAGTAAATCCCACATGCAGAAAGAGGCAATTAAATATCTGAATTATGGATCTGAACTTAAGACAATTTGATGTAGACCATGAATTTTACCTTGTAGTTGCTTTGGAATTACTTTATTGTAATTGTGCTTTACATTTAAGGTGAATTCAATTTAGGAAAACTTTTAAAATCAGTTTTTTAAAAAAAATCCTGTTGATTGAATTACGTGTAAAGATAGTCGGGATTCAAATGATTAATTTCCCCCAGTGAGATGTGATGTAGAGGAAAGGGAAAGTCCTGAATAATTCCCAAAGGACAATTTGTCATTTACAATGATTGGTGTGTATTCAGGAAAAAATAATTATTTAATCTGGTCCAAGGTTAAAGACATATCCGTTATAACTTATTTTTTATTTTATTAAGGAATTAATAATAGCCTTTTATATTCTGCCTGAAATAAATTATTAAAGGATTAGTTGAGTGTGAAATTAAATAGCACTTTTCTCATGCATGCTAAAGAGATGTCTGAAGAACTGGTTGCATTTAAACAAGTTTCCAAATGGTTTTGATTTTGTGCAAGAGCAAAATCCAATGTTCCCTTTGAAAATACCAAACCTAGCAAGTGCTAAGCAGTTCAGATGACAAAGGTTAATCTTTAATTTTCATGCTACTAATTGAATAACTTTCAAATGATATGTATCAATGTATAAAGCTGAAATGAAGTCAGGTGGCATTTTTCAAATCCCACTGTTTATGCTAATAAATGTAGGTTAATATGGGATGAGATCTGATATGTTAACTTTATAAGCTAAGCTTTTATATTGTTGCTTGTTTTTATGTAAAACACTTACTTTCAAATGATAATAAAATAGTAGAAAATTATGTACCCACCATTTTACTTAATACCTTAACTGCAGTCTGAACTTGCAATGATTTCATGTTATTCTAACAGAATGATACTAGAATGTACTTCAATTGGCAATCAAACTAGTAAGGAATTATATCCAGCTGCGTTCCTAGGGGATTTTGCACAAGGCTTTAAATATTAGTCATGCAACCATCTTGTCGTTTTCCCCACCTAAACTTCTACACTAATGTACACGAAATGATTAAAAAATAACTATGCAAAAATTTCCCACTTTACATATTAACTTCCCAGCCCAGGAGTTTAATTTGGATAAGCATATGGAAATCAAATATAGCCTTGGACTTAACTTCTTTTTTACCAATCCACATGAGAAGTGTGAATATTGTTTTACTGCAAAATTTTGCTAATTACCACTAATGATTGGAAGATCCATTGTCAATGACTGAATTTTTGGGAATTAGCATGTGAACAAAGACAACACAATGAAAGACCAAAGGGTGATGCATCATAAAATGTACTTTCATTTGTTCTGATAATTGGTTTAGTTTTAATGGAATATTCAAAAGTTATCAGGAAATGTACAGGGAGGTAAATGATAAAAATAAAGAAGTGTTAAAAATATTACACCATTCCTGAGCTCTGTGGCTACCTTTGCTGAAAGGTATGGGAAGTGGTAGACCAATGAAAGTACATGAATTATCCTGACTGCACTGTTAGTTTGTATTTTACAGCAACTTCATAAAAAGATTTCAGATGAAGCAGACAAAGAACTGCAAAACTAAGGAAAAGAATTTGTCTTCTAATATGCAAAGTTACTCTGTCTTAGAAATGGTCGTTAC